GACACCCAAGACCCGACCTGGCGGCCGCCTCCGGCTGGAGGGGCGCCTGCAGCAGGCACCGTCGTGATGGGCTGTGCTGGCTGCCTGGTTCCGGCTCCTCCACTTCCCAAAACCTTGAACTTGACGAGAACAGAGTTCAGAGGTTGGGTCCTCAGCTCACTATTTTCAAGTCAAATACTTTTTGAAATTGAACAGACACCAGCTCTTGCGACACTGAAGAAAAGGTCTCTCATAATGGAAGCAGAGGAGAAAAATAACTCTGGCCAAGGAAGATTCTGGGCAAAGATCGCCATGACAACAGCCAGCTGTTCCCGGCCTGGAAGCAGGGGCCCTTGCTGGGCGAGAGGCTCCGGCCAGCCTGGTCTGGGAGGGCCTGGGTGGCTGGGTTCTGCACTGGCCTTTCAACACTCACCCTACGCCTGAAAGCGGCTGCCGAGCCAGAGCAGCAGTGGAGCGGAGAGGGGGCGTGACCCGCCCTCCCTGCCAGCACCTCGCCCAGGGAGCGCCTTGGAGTCTGAGGCAGAAGACCCAGAGGGATTTGGGTCTTGGTAGTTCTACTTTCAACCATTAAAAATGTCTACCCCAGGGAAATACACAAGTCACAGTACTGGGTGTTCAGTAGGCACAAGATAGTCCCCGCGCTGATCTTAAAAAAAACGGCAAGTGCCAGGCGATCCTGACGAGGGGAACACTGGTGGAGCCCCCAGAAAGCCTGACTCATCAGTTAGGTCCCAGGTTGGGCTCTTCACCGTGACAAAGACCACAAGGTCAAAGCCAAGCTCCCTGCACCCCCTCAGGTCTTGCCTGTCATCCTAAAGTCCAACCTAAAAAGCTTACTTGAAAATGGAGAATAAAGTACATTGGTTGAAATCTTACAATAAATATTTAGAAGATAAAATATGGGCATTTTCCCCATGTTTTACTTAATAGTTCTTTGAATTCTTCATGTTTTCACCAGTTGAGACAAGTATAATAAACATGATCAATTAAAAAAGGAACTTTGTCTTTCTGTAATCTAAAACACATGGGTTCCTGATAACTCTTCACTTCCCCCAAAATAAAGGGAGGGGTGCAAGGCCACCCGGCTTGGCCAACGGCTGTTCTGGCTCCGTGGAGGCGGCTGGGAGAGCATCCCCCGGACTCTCCGGGACTCCCAGGGCCTGAGGGTGAACAGGCCTCCGTGGTACGCGGCTCGCTACGTGCGGAGCCGGAAGCTGGGGAAGTCTTCATACACACATCTCCAATGCCGAGTTGCGTCAGTTATTTCTTTCTAACTGGGACTATCTTCTGGGTTTAAAAGTGAAGTTTGGCTGGGTCCAACCACTATGGAGAGCTGTGTGGAGATTCCTCAACCTACTAAAGATGGAGCTTCCATAGGATCCAGCAATTCCACTCCTAGGGATTTACCCAAAGGACACAGAAACATCCATTCCAAAGAGCACCTGCACCCCTATGTTTATAGCAGCACTGTTTACAATAGCTAAGCTTTGGAAACAACCCAAATGCCCAAAAACAGATGACTGGATCAAGAAGATGTGGTACATACACACCATGGACATTCAAAAAAGATAAACACATGCCATTTGCAGCAACATGGATGGCGCTGGAAGGGATCATGCTCAGTGAAATAAGCCAGAAAGAAAAAGAAAAATACCGGATGGTCTCACTCATAGCAGGAATCTAGAAAACTTAAATAAGGGACCAGGAAAAAGAATAACTATAAGAAAGTGAAAATCAAAATCAACAAACAATTATGAACCAGGGACACACTATGCGGAGCGGGGAAAGGTGGGATTGGGGTCAAAATAAAAGGGTTGCTATTGTATAGGGAATATAAAAATAAAATTAAAAAAAAAAGTGAAGTTTGGGCTGATTTGAAACATTTGGTGATTCTTTGATCCTGGATTTCCCCACATTTCTGTTTGTTATACCACCATCAAACATTATCTTATGAAACACACGAAAGTTCACAAGACTTTGATTTAAAACAACATCATTAAGAAAAACAAAGCCAAGGCCAAGTTCTGAACAGATCCCCATAACCGCAATGTCTTTCTCAATAAATGAGATATTAGTAAAATACTTATGTAACTTTTCCAAAGTTAAATGACAGGTTAAGGTCCTTTCTCTCTGCGGAAAGAAGTGAAATGAACAATCAAGGAGAAGGGGCCTGGGGGCGGGCGGGAGGAGGGGGTCGTGTGCCCTCGGCTGCAGTGGGGATCGTGAACACCCACCAAGCGGCATCCTTGAGACACGCACCCTTGTTCTTATATAAACGATGCTCAGTGAGAATAACAGGTGCTAAATAAAACCGGAAATCCATGAAATGACCCTTCCAGAGACCGCTGGGTGCGGCAGTTCTGCTGAGGCTTCTCAGCAGCCCAACAGGCCCTGCCTGGCCGGCAAAGAGGCCCCAGAGCCTCCCTGCTCCCCGCCCGCTGCCCGTGCCCAGCTCCTTCTTGGGTTCAGTAGCTCCTTCCAGGCCTCGCCACAGAGGCTCCTGAGAAGGGCTGTGGCTGACACTTGACAGGGGGAGAACTCAGAACCGGGCACATCTCCCCAGGAACAATGCCAGGTCACGCCCAGGCCACTCTGGTTTGGCTTCACATCGAGGTCAGAATCAACCAGCGGCCGTGGCTCCTGGAGCAGGTGCTGTTGCCGGGGTCGGGATGAGCTGACGACTCGGACCCAGGCCCTGGGTCTCTGCTCTAGGCCAAGGAGACAGGGCCAAGGCGAAGGGAGACTCTGGGTTATGTGTCCAAGGTGCCCAGCGCAGGTGCAGCATCTGCCTGTGCGTGGGAGGTGGGCTTAGGGCCCCGCACCCTGCACATAACTACAGAGTGAGGTGCACATAATAAAATTGGAGGGCCTGGTGAACTGGGGTTGGACTTACAGAAAAATAAAAGCAGATAACATCCTGGTTGCATTGTTTAGCAATACTGAGCTCTTTTGGCCCAGTTTTACGGTGAGGGTGCCCTGACGCCAAGCAGTCGGTGTAGGATACGGAATATTCTAGAAAAAGTCTATAATAATCCTGTAACACAGCAAGTATACATCCACTGAGTGTGCTGATGTGGCTTAGAGATAATGTGACATCAAATACTGTACCACTTATTTAAAACTGTATAATTGCTCAGCTTAACAAGCACTTGAAAATGCTAAGGCTCCAAAATAACAGCAGAAGCTTGCAGAAAAATCACCTGGCAGAACGGGGAGGCCGCCGATGTGCAGCTGTGACGATGGCACATGTCCTGTTTACTCCCAGAGTCATGGAGAGCTTTCAGGAGAACAGGAATGGAAACACCTGTGTCCTGTTTCCGCACCTGCCCGACACAACCTAGGTGCTCATACCTGCCCTTTCTGTGTGGCAGCTTCTGCCCCTGAGGCAGCCTCTGCTGCTGAACGCCAGTGAGCATGCTGAACAAAGGGTGGCAGTTACTCAGACACAGAAAGTCAGAGTACATAAGACCCCCTTCCCCTGTGCGTTGGACTGGACAGCCAGTGACAGGTAAGATCGGGGGCAGACGACAGAAGGCACTGCCTGCATAAGTGTCTGCGACTCCTGACAACCTAAGACAGGCGCAGTCCCCGAGGGGATTCATAAAAACCCCTTCTTTGGCCTTAGAAGAAGATGGCTGCTATAAGGCAATGCCATTGTATTCCAGCTGACACTGCCCAGCTTGCCGAGACCACGCCGCTCATCTTTAACTTACAACTCAATAGCTTTGTGCTTCACTGCCCAGTTGCTGCCTTAAACTGGTTTGACTATTTACAGAAAATGCTTAAGAATCTAAATGTGAGAAATAGCTGTTGTGATTTTATAATAGTAAATTTAATCAACAGAAATAGTTATAAGTAATAGTAAAGAAATATCCATATTATAGTATATACATAATACGCAATGTAGATGGGAAATTAATAGTTGAATCAATGTTTAAACTAAGGTTAATAGCAAAGACCTGAGGGTCAAAAATGGTTTCGGACGAAGGAGACCTCTTGCTGTGGTCTCGGTATGAACTTGATTTATTGATGATTGTACATGAATGGAATCTTGAAATGGTGCATATTGTTTTTTGTTATGTTTCACTGCATGTAATAATCTAACGTATAATTAACCACAAACTGTAAAAAATAATCTCATGTAATGGTCAAAATAATGTATAAAAAGAGAAAGTTAATTCCAGCCAATTACACTCAGATTTTCACTCCCTTAGAGTGTGTCTGTGTGTCATTTCTTTTCGTCCCTCGCCCTAATTCCTTCGACCACCTCGTGCTTGTTCTCGCTCATTCCCTGAGAGTGCCTCGATTTACCCGCCGCTGCTGGGCTGGTCCGCGGCATTTCTGTACTGAAGGGAAAGCGCACCAGCAGAGGACGCCTGCGAAGCTCGATGCTGGCCCACGGGAGGCCAGCCTGCCCGTTCATCTTTGATTTGAAGGAACGGAACGGGAGCAGGGCGCTGGGAAGACCTCACCCACACTGAGACTTCACAAATCTGTGTCATTTTGCGGAACATGAAGACAGGCAGCAGCTATGAGCTAACGATCAGAAGAAGGTTCATATACTGTGGCTCACTTGGGAAGGTGCATGTGAAAGCAGAATGTGAACACCTCTGTGTGTGCATACAATAGACTTTTCTCAAGTGGAAAGCAAGCCGCCAGCACACACACACCTGCTCCGCGATGACTCTGCCTGGCTGTAAGCACCAGATGCACCTCAGGACGTCTTGGTCTGGAGCCCCCCACTGTGACTCAGGTAGCCAAAACCCCCACAGTGTTCCATGCTCAAATCACAGCGTCTCCCCTGAAACCAGCTCTCTGGAGGAGAGACAGCCTGCAGCCCGTGACGTCTGCCTGCACCACATTTGTCATGAAGCCACATCTGCACCAGCTGGCAGGTGGCTCAGCTCCCCGTGCTGTTCTCTGGCCCCAGCCTGGACGTGCCCTCCACACCTGTGAGCACCATGCAGCAGGCGTTGCACAACCCCAAGCCCCCATCCTACCTGCTTCTTCGGGACCCAGAGCAGTGCGCTTCCTCCTGCTGCCAGAGCTGGCGTTGCTAGGCGGTGCAAGGCTCCCCTAAGAAGAGAAAACCCCAAGTTATTACCAAGGCCTCTGCCGTTGGAGGAGAAGCGCGCGTAGGGCTGCAGCTGCTGCAAACTCACTTTCTGAGCTGGGGTGACAGCTGGGGTCTCCGTCAGAGTTGCCCTGGGGGCTGCTGTCGCTGCCTGGGGAGGTTCTGGCTGCGCATCTGCAAGGGGGGCCTGCAGTTCTGCCCGGAGGCTCCCCAGCTCCGCTTGCAGGACAGCCAGCTGGTAGAAAGACACCCCGGTGAGGCAGCAAGACAGCAGGGCCAGCAGCAGGGTCCCGGCCAGCAGCTTTCCATCTGGGGAGAGCAGGGCAGAGGGGCTTTCCTTCTGGTTGAGGATGGGGACACCCTGGCCTTTCATTGCTTCCCTGTTCTCAAAGCAAGGAGAGAGGCGCGCCCGCTTCCTTTCCGTGGAGTCATCCATCCCACGCCTGGGCTTTGAAGGTTAGGTCCTTTAGCCTAAGTGACCACAGGGAACGGGTCATTTCCTGTTCTCGGTGTCTGTGGACGGTCTGAGTTCAGAGCAGCCGCTAGGGTGGCCCCCCAGGAGCCCTCGCCTGCATCCTCTCCCCTCTGCCCCTCGGCATCGCTGGCCTTGCTGTCCTGGCATCGCCCTGGGCCGATTGCTCAACCAGCCTTCCTCATTTCACTTTCAGTTTTTGCAAGCATCGTAATGGCATCTCCAGACGCCGGCCACCCCGCGCCCGCCGCTGCGCGGGCTGAGTGCTGGGCTGGGAACGGCTCGCTGGAGACCACCTGGAAGCCCCGGGCTGGGGGCTCTCCGGGGCCCAGGCGAGACCCGGGGCCTGGGCCTGTGCCCAGGTAGCGGGGGAGGGGGGAGGCCTCGCTGTGCTGCTGTGGTTGTGAAAACAGTGAGTGGGAGCGCCGCTGAGTCAGCCCGTCCGCCTGTCCGCGGGCTCCGGGCCCGGCTCTGCAGCGAGCGCGGGGAGCAGGAAAGGCAAGCAGGTGTCGCCTGCAGGGTTGTCTGTCTGTATCTAAGTGGTGCGGGGCCCAGACGCCGCCCCATTCTGGAGCCGGGTTTGGACAAGACCAGACGGGGCTTTCCGCGTGGTGCAGGAGGGGGCGCACCCCACCTGGTCTTCCCCCACCCGGTGGGGCATGCATGCCCCCCACTGCAGAGCCACCTCTGGAGCTGCGAGTCCCCACTCCTGCTGACACTGCTGCAGGGAGCCCGGGCTTCCCTCCAGCTCCAGAGGCCTCCCGCCAAGCCGGCCCACGAGGCCCCAGGGGCCTGACCCAAGGACTCCGCCTCCAGCCAGCTGGCAGGCCCAGCCCAGCTCCCCATCGCCAAACGTGGGGGTGCACCGGGCCAGTCCTGGTGGAGATGACGCCGGGCACACGCTCTGGCCGCCCAGTGCAGCACCATGTGCTGGGCACCCCGCACACACCCCAGCACTGCTGCTGGGCACCCCCGCAGGCCAGGCCGCCCCCCACCGATTCCCCAAGGAGAGGGCTGGGACCAGGTCCGTGCCAGCCTCCCCATCCTGGGTGAGCAGGCAGCAGCCCTCTGGCTCCAGTGGCCACTTCTGCTGGGGCTCTAAGGAGACTAGGGGAGGGGTGGGAATGGACTTGGGGGGTCCCAGCTGGGCCCCTGCGGCCACTCCCCAGGACATGCTCCCTTCTCCGCCCTGGGAATGAGCCCGCTTTCACCCACCCCTTCCTCGAGGGCTTCTCCTGGGGACATGTGCTGCCCCTGGAGGCATCTGGGCACAGCCTGCACCAGCGCTGGCCAGCAGGCCCCTGCCCGGGCAGCGCCCGCCCCGGCTCGCCCCTCAGGACGCCCCTCCTCGTGCTCACCTGGCACGGCTGCTTGTCCTCCCTGCCTCGCGTTCCAGGCCCTTTGAAAAAGCTTCTTCAAAACCCCTTTCAGAACAAACCTTGTGGTCTCCAGTAGTGGCTCCGCTTCTCAGAGGAAGGCCTTCTGCACAGGTGGGACCCTGGCCAGACGGCACATGACCCGGGCCTCTGTCAAGGTCAGTCAGGACAATGCCTTCCAGTCAGCCTGGCGAATAACAGAGTCAGCTTGGGGCTGCCTGGGGCTGGACTGGGGGCTGCCCGGGAATGCACTGGGGTCTGTGCTGGGCTGGGCTGGGCTGGGCTGGGGGCTGCCCGGGACTGGGCTGGGGGCTGCACAGGGCTGGGCTGGGGGCTGCACAGGGCTGAACTGGGGGCTGCCTGGGGCTGGACTGGGGGCTGCACGGGGCTGGACTGGGGGCCGCACAGGGCTGGACTGAGGGCTGCAGTGGGACTGCACCTCAGCTCAGGGAGCAGTTGCCGTGTGTGAACTAGACAAGGCCACCCCAGGATCCAGCAGCGCTAGAAGCCAGCTTTCCCCAGTGAGGGGACGTCCTCCCAGGCCTGGGGGACCCTGTCTCCACATTCTGCAGTAAAAATCCCAAAGAGGGCAGAGGTGACCCGGTGAGCCAGGGCGGGGCGAGCGCTCCTGGGCGGAGACCTCACTCTGCAGCCTGAGGGAGCCCCTGCTGGCCTGCTCAGGCCATTGTAGAGCAAGTCCCCGTCTTGGATCAAGTGGTGGACACCAGGGGTGGACACCAGGGTGCGTCCTCTTGGAAAGGTGTCAGCGCAGCTCCCATGCCTCAGGCACCTCCCTGGAAAGGGAGGTTTGCTTCCTGCCCCACGTGCCAAGGGCCAAGGCTGGGGGGTGGGGGGGCAGAGAAGACCCGAGAGAAACAGACTCGGAGGCGGAGGGTCTTGTGGAGAACGACGCGTCCGCCTCTCGCCTGGGGCTTCACCAGGGACTCGGGACACGGAGGAGACCGACGAACGTGGGCGAGACGCGGCGGGAGGCTCACCACGGCCGCCCTTGTCTGGACGGGCACCTCTCCTGTGCGCCCGTCCTTCCAGGCCGGTCTGGCTCCTCTGGCCCTGCCCTGTGGGTCCCCACCAGGAGGGGCCTTCGGCTGCGGCTTTCAGGCCTCAGGGGCCCTGCTTTGGGCCGACCCTGTCCGGCGGGGCGCTCGTCACAAGGGGGTGGGTGGCTTCGGGGGCTGCGCTGGGAAAGCGCCGTCCTCTCTCCTCTCTCCCCTGCACACCTGCCTCCTGACGCTCTTCCACGCCGAGAGGAGCTTTGTCTTTACGTGTCGGAGGGTAGAATCCCTTACGGGTGTGCAGGTTTGGGGGTCCTGGGGTGCTCCTCGGTCTGCCCACTGACCCCCGCTCGTCCCCTGTAGTGACCACACCCTCTGGGCCGGCAGGAAGGGAGCTGCGTCAGGAGCACCTGGCGGGCGCCGTGGAGGGCCGGGGGTGTGGGCACTCCATAACCCGGGGCTCTGTTTCCTGCCGAGGAAGTGCTTTGACAGTGATTTAACTGAAATTCTGTGAAAAAACCCTTGCGTGCTGGTTCGGGGCTAGACACGCAGCACAGGCCGCGCGGCGAGGCGGCTGCTCCGAGCTGTGGATGCTGCAGGGAAGCGCGGGGAGCGCCCTGCTTGGGCAGCAGCTCCCACCTGCCCCTTCCCCGCCTCGGGGGGCACAGAAGGGGCAGCGGGTCTGGGAGGGGGGCCTGCAGGACGGCAGCTGGGGTCCCCCAGGAGACGCTCGCTGTCACACTGGCAGCCGGAGGCGCGCAGACCTCAGTCACCGCCTTCCGCGGCGGCCCCGGGAAGGCCGCGCAGGCTGGACGTCTGGCCTGAGCCTCCCGGGAACAAAACGACGACTTCCGTGGAGTTGCCCCCACGAGGAGACAGCGGGTCTTGCAGACACGTGTTCCCACACTGGCCCGGCGGGCGAGCGCCCAAGCTCGGCACGGGGAGAGGTTTGCTCCAGAGGAACGTCACGCTGCGGGGAAGGCACAGCGGCCGGGGCGGCGGGCACCGGCGGGGAGGGCTGCTCCGGCACCTTGACCTCGGAACCACAGTGTGTCTTTAAAACAGACCCGCCGGCCTCCCTGAGACGGAAGGAGAGGCTGATGGGCGGGGGGTGCTGGCTTCCCCTTCTTCACAGTCGGCCAAGGACGTCTCTGCCCTCCCCGGAGCTTCGCTGTCTGGGCTCTGACCGAAAAGATCCACGTTCGTGACGCTCCCAGATGTTCTGTTCCGACGGGATGGCCCTGAGGAACCGTGTCCGTTTGTGCTCCCGAAAGTCCTGCTGACTTGAGTACAGGGTCCAGGGTGGGGTTCGGCTCGTGAGTCTTGACCTTCACCTGCACCCCAGCAAGCGCCCGGGAGCACCGAGGGGCAGGCGATGTGGCCACTGCCCCTGCCCATGGACGGATGCGCCCCTCATGGGCCCAGAGCCGGGGCGCGCCCACACCCGCCGGCTGCGCCCCCACAGCAACGCTGGGGATGTGGAAGCACCCCTACGCACCCCGCTCGAGTCGCTCCCATGAGACCTGGCTGACCCGTGCGGGGGAAGAGGCGGGCCGGGGGGGCAGACCGTCCCCCGCCCCAGCCGCTGTCCCGTCCGCGCGGAGCTGGTGTGTTTGGCTGCCCACGGCTGCGGGCCGGGCGGCTGCGCCAGCAGTCGGATGTGAGGGGCTCTGGGGGCTCAGGGAAAGGGGCCCCTCGTCTTTGAAGAGAAACAGTAACCAGACCCTGCTCCTCCCCGTGCCACGCGTGTCCAAGCGATGACCTGAACGGGACGCCCGGCTGAGACCCGGAGATGAGCCCGGCCGGGGCGAGGCTGGCCTCTGCCCACAGGGGTGTGGGTGCGGGTGGGGCGTCCCTACTCCACACTCCCGCTGACTGGTTCTTCCTCCTCGTCCTCTGAGTCAGCTGCAGACAGGATCGGCCGTTAAGGCAGAGGCCTCTGAACTAATTCCGCTGGCTTGGGGAGGCTGAACTCTGGACAGAGCAGCTGTGGGCTTCCTTTCAGACTCTCCCCCAAAGGTCCACATGCTTAGAGCCCATTTTAAAGAGGAAAGGTGGGTCTCCATTGGTCGGAAAACAACTTTATTCCTTAGGAGTTTTATTTGGAGTTTTACTCTGAGGTGACTCTTGAGAGCCTCTGTGACTTAGGAGTGCGAGAAAACTTGCCACGCAGACAGCAGAGACGGTAAAAGAAGCGACATTTGAAATGACAAATTAGTGATGTGTACGACGCCAAACTGAAGCAAGAGGGAAAGCAAGCCAGTGAGACCCGGGAGGCTCTGAGCGGGAGCGCTGAGGCCGGGGAGAGGGCGGTGGCATCGTGAACACCGGGGAGCAGGGGGCTGGGAGCCCACGGAGTTCCTGGGTGTCTGAGGGAAATGAACCCTAGGGAGGTCGGCGGCCTCCACTGCAATATTGGGGTACACAGGAAAGCAGAGGAGTCGGCCTCCGGGAACTTGGCTTGGGATCCTGCGGGCGTGAGGTTGCCTCTTCCCGGCAATGGGAACTCCATCTGCTGGCTTTATGCAAGGAGTTTCTCATCCGGTTTCAAATTCCTTCGCCTCCGTGGTTTCCCATTTCACTCAGGAAGAGCTGCCGGAACCCCTGGTGTGTTGCTGACATCTGAGCCCCTAGCCGCAGGCCTCACGGTCTGTGGCATCCACTTTCCCTGAATCGGGTGTGGCTTCTTCACTCTGGCCTCTCCAGCTGAACGCTTAGGCGCTGATTTCCTGTCCGATTTGATATAAACATCCAGGCAATTAAACGCTCCATATTACTTGCTGTGCAACATTTTTATTAATACATGTTTTAAACCTTGACAA